AAATGTCGGATCCTTTACCTCGCCTATCCCCGCGCGTCCCTCCTCTCCTCGAACCTAGACAGTTTTAGTTTAGTCATCATCCCCCATGTTCTTCTCCTGTCTAGGTGTCAACCCCTCTCATGAGTTCTCCTTTTTGAACAATTATTATAGCCTCGGTCCAGCTGGGAAGCACTGAATTGGATAAAACATGAAAGAAATAAGAGGGTTCTTGAATTCAATACTCTCACTTACTTACAATTGAAAAAAAAAAAATTAACCACACTCAGCTGTACTTTACAATTCCAGTCGACCCATTTTTGGTTATAGTCTTCTGGGCTTCACCAAAAAAGCCAAAAAAAATTATTATTGACAACTAATTATCCATGAACAATCTAGGGGTAAAATTAAGAGATATGCTTTAAAAATTCGATGTGGAGTTAGGAATGAGGAATGCTTCTATGTGATTGAATAAATTTTTTGGATGAGAGGGTGTTAATTTTTAATAAAAATTTGGCATAGATGCTTCCAATTTTAATCGTTTATATGAAGGCACTTTTAGGCATTACACGTTACATATTTCATTGAATTCTAATTTGTGGATTACATTGAAGAAGAAGAAGAGGAGATTATCATTGACCTCGGAAGTCCAACTTATTGGAAAAGCAGTGAAACGCAAGGATAGAATCTATATCTATATAAATTTGAGAAGGGATTTTTAGCAACAAGTCTCCACGCATCTTCCCACTACCAATTCCATTTTTCTAGCATTTCACATTTAATTTAATTTATAAAATATATTCCTCTCAACTTCCACATCTACTCTTCACATTTGAAATTGTTGGTTACCTTTTAAAATCATTTCATTTCAAATTGTTGGTTAATATGCATGTTATCCTCTTTGAACTTCAACCCATCACGTTTCCGATTGTCTTGCGGTATTTATGATTTTACAACAATTAAAACTTCTATAAGACCATAAGAACATATAACAAATATAACATCTTTTCATACTTTCTTATTAATTTAAATAAGTAAGATTATTTACACTCCATTTTTGCTATTCACACTTCAATAATCATTTTGGTTATATAATTTTCATTAATTATACTATATGATAAAACAAATAGTGGAATTGTAAATAATAAAAAATGGAGTGCAAATAATATTTTCTTAAGTAAGAAGTGGCTTCCATGCATTCCTAATTTTAAAAAGTAGTGACTCCACTTATATAGGAATTTGGTTTGAAGTTTATTAGTGGGAGGGTAAATAAAAAGAAAGCATTGCCAAACTTAGTAAAAGTAAAAAAGTAAATGACAATATTTTATCTTTTAACTTAGTAATCCTAAGTAAAAGGGTAAAATTAAATAAAAAAATATTCATGAAATAATGTTGTGGATTTAAAAAATCAAGAATGGTACCATTCGTGAAATCTAAATTATGAAATCACTAAATAAAAAACAAAGTACTACTAGCCTTTTAATGTGGAAATTTTTTTTTGAAATATTCATTTTTGATAAAAAAAAATAATGATAATAACAACACCAATTCTACCAAAATTTTTTTAAAAAGTAACATTATAGTTTAAGAGAAAGATATAGAACATTCAACCCTAAAATACTACTTAATTTGTATATATTTGGTCCAAATTTGACATTAGATTTGAATAAGAGTGCAAAACCCAAACACTAAGGATAACTTTTGATATCATTAATTATTTATGTATTCTTATTGCTGTCTTCATATGTAAATATGTATTTGCTATGTTAAATATATATAATATATATATTGATTGTAGTACTTGAGGATATTATAGATATTATCAGTTTTTCATTCCCATTATTGGATACTAATAATTGCAACCATTGTAATCAATTTTCAAAATTATATTTTCATTATTATAGGTAAAAAATTAAATATATTGGGTTGCAGGGATATGAATTTAGAGGTTAGGTATAGGGGGAAGAAAATGGTGAGAAGTTGAAAAGTGGCAGGAAATGTTGAAAAAGAAATATGGATTACAATGATGGCAAAGAATGGAAAGAAGAAGAAAGGGGATTGCAGGAATATGACCGAGATGACAAAAAAATAATAATAGAGAGAGTGGTACCATGATAGAAGATATGAAAGTCGTAAGAGGCATCTGATAACTAGGTGTCGGACAAGGAAGAAGAGAGAAATAATGGTGATTTTTAATAATTTTGAGAATTCTAAAAACACATATTATGGAGATTTTTTTAAATATACGTTAAAGTTTATGAAAAATGCTAATCTAAATGCATTCAACAATTATAGAGGCACAATATAGGAGAAAGATTTTTTTTCTAAAAATGGAAGAAAATAAATTGGTTATAATTTATTATTTTATATTGTGAGTAGAGGTGGCAAAATGGCGGGGATGGGCGCGGATTTGCTTGGGTTTATGATGGAACCGAGTCATATGAGTTTGGGCCCAACCTTACCCATATGTGTTTTGGGACTAACTTGGGCGGGATCACTTTGGGATGGGTTTAGATTGATCCCGCCCAATACCCAAATCTATTTTCTACATATTTTTTTCCCTTTAATTCATTTTTTTTTTTATATAATTTAATATTTTTTATTTATTAAATTTTTTTAGTTTTATTAAATAAACATGCAAGTGCTTTATACTCAGGATTCCCATCAAAAATTGGATTAACAAATAAAGGAAAAAATAGATATACAATCATATTCCAACATATATCAAGATGACCAAGGTACTTAAAGTGTTGAATATTTATTCTCATCATTGTCCAAAGATGACAGGTCTAAATTGACTGAAATGTTGAAAATTCTTGTGGATAATGACTAGGAAAACTACTAGATTATATTCTCTAGTATGACTATAAAAATTGTTAAAGATAATTTTTGAATCTAAGACTCCGTTTGGATTGGCTATTTTTTCAAAAAATAAGTTTTTCAAATACAATGTTACAGTAATATACAATAACTCAAAAAATATCTCATCCATATTAGTATATCAAATATTTCAAAAAAATTTTATAGTAAAAATTTTTCATATACACTGCTATAATAAAATATTTCAAAAATACCTCCCAAAAATAGCTAAACCAAACAAAGCCCTTGTTATTTGAACCCAATGGGCACCCAAGTATTCCCATCAATTAATGGGTACAATTAGGATTTGTCCCATTTTAAACCAATATCAAAAATCTAATACCCATCCCGCCCAAAGTCCCCATGGGCATGGGTAACCCATTGGGACTTGGGACAAATTGCCACCTCTAATTGTGAGTATTGATATATGAGTATAACATAATATGTTTTGTTAGATATTGATAAATTGACTTTTTTTAAAAAACTCTTCTCACCTTACCACCCAACCTAACCCTCTTCTTAAATGCGTTAACAATTCTTTTATCATGTAAATTATTATATATTATTTTTTTTTGAAAATATTAAGCATATCTTCTTTAAAATTTTTAGTATATATATTTATTATTCCATACCATAATATATAAATATATGCAATATCATTTTGATTTGAAATATAATCCCGTGCATAGCACGGGTCAAAACACTAGTGGAATAAAAGGTCAGGAAATGAAATACTACTCCTAGCAGTCTTCCACTGGCATTGGCCCCCTCAGATTCACTGTACTTGACTCCAGCGGTAAAACAAGATAGAGCTTCAAAAAAAAAAAAAGGACAAATAAGGAAATTTTAAAAACTACCACCTTGCAATGCATCAGATGAAAACCTCCACGGTCTAAATATGGACCGCTATTGTAAAATAAGATAAAGAATCGATTACTTAAATTCAAAGTGTTACATTATTTTTCCTTCAAAAAAAAGTGTTACGTTATATTTTTTTTTACGTATGCAAAATTTAAAAATTATCATAAAAAATATTCAAATTAGACTGAAACCTAATATGCAGGCATGGGTTCGATATTTGTGGGTATCGAAAAATAAAACCCGTATTCAACTTGCATAATCGCAAAACCCATATTTGATCGATTTAGCGGGTCAAATACCCTTATTATTAATTATTTGGGATAATTTTTAAAAAAATACATACCAAAATTATTTCAAATAATATTTCGCTTGCATCACAAACACATTTCCCAGCCTACCTTTTTATATTCTCAATCACCTTTTTATTTCACATACATCATATCACAAAAAGTGCTACAGTAATTATTTCAAATAATATTTCAAATAATCTACTATCCAAACAAACTTACGTACTGTCGCATTTTTTTGATGTAATATATGTGAGATTAAAATATGGTTGAAAAATATATTGATGATGTAATATAAATAAATCAATATATATAAATAAGATGTAAATAATAATGTGCAATTCAAGAGTTCTGTATAACCTTTTAAGTACAACATCGATGATAAGCACCAATTCCAATTTATCGTTAGATGTAAATAAAGATGAGTATTAATTTACCATTGAATGTGTAAATAGATATATTAGATCTTAGATGATTTTAAGAGTTTAAATTATTGAATAATATGTCAATAATATCTTGAATTATAATTATGGATATGAAAATAGATATGGAAGAATTTCTTGAATTACACACGGTAACTTTGAAAATGAAAAACTGATAAGCACTTTCCCGGTTTCCATTTGCACCCCAAGTCCACTCCATTTCCTCCAATCTCACGTCTCCTCGGAAATCACAAATCTAGGAGGGCTATTTATTTTTAAATCAAACATCTTCTTCATCGCCCTTCCATCCATCCCCCGCGTTCTTCTCCTCATCCCACTACCGTCTCTCTCTCTATCTCCCTCCTTCCCTCCCTGCCTCCGTCGCAAACGCTCACACTCCTTTGTCAACCCCTTTTACTTCTCCAGATCTTTACAGTCCCAGAAACTAACTAGATCTCATACGAAACCAAAACAAAACTCCACCCATCATTCCCGTTTCCTCACTCAATTGTACTTGGGCCTCCTTTTTATTACTTGGTACTTTCTGCAGATCTTCCAGCAAAAAGGGGTTTGTAAATCAGTCAATCAATCAACAATGTCCACATTCCACATTTTCACCCTCGCTCTTCTCGTACTGCTCTTCAACTCCCCACTCTCTTTCTCTGTAGATCCGCCGCAAACTTCACCCAGCCCGTCGCCAGATCACGGCGCTGACGTCCCAAGCCTGGAGCCCAAGAAGTCGTTACCTCCTTCACCGTCGCCGTCTGTGAACTCCCCTCCTGCCCCACCACCAAATTTGGCTCCGGAGTCTTCCCTTCGCCCGCTCCCACTCCGGCTAATTCTACTGAGCCCTTGAAGAAGTCTCCTGCGCCGTCGCCGTCTGAAGCCGGCGATGTAAGTCACGCCGACTCGAGTGATATAGAGGCTGAAGACGAGTCGTCGGAAGGAATGAGCCGGGGCAAGAAGGCCGGGATTGCCATCGGAGTAGTGGCCGGAGTTTGCATCGTCGGGATCGGAGCATTGGTTTACAAGAAGCGCCAGCAGAATATCCAGCGGGCGCAGTTTGGGTACGCCGCCCGGCGGGAACTTCTGTAGGACTCAAGTACTACTAGTAATAAAAAAAAAAATTACATATATAGATACAGATTCTATATCTATATATAGATACAGTCTAGACGACTACGTAATACTCAATGGCTGGTAGATTGATTTTGTGGCGTTTAAGTTGAGAGAGATTTATTTTGATTGGGAGGCCATGATTTGTTTGATTCTTTACTTTGCTCGTAATAAAAACTTTCTTCTGCTAAAAATTGATTTTTTTTTCCCAGTTGCAATAAATTCTTTTGGCTGGCTTGCGTATCGCATGTTCAAAATTTGACTGGACCATGAATGTTTGAGGAATTGTAGTTTGAATAAATCCATCATGTTATTAGTTTGATTATGGTAATGAATTTGTATTCTAATAATAATAATATGTATGGTCTTTCAACTGAAGCGGGGAGCGCATCAATTGGTCTTTTTTTGGGTGAGAAAAATAAGGATAATTTGGTTTCCTCTGTTGTTGAAATGTACATGACCGACGAAGGTGTAAAGTTTGGGAAATTAGGAGCAGCGAGGAGAGTTGTCAACTGTCATGGTCGTGGTCGTGGTCGTGGTGGGTTGGCATTTGGTTTTTTATGAGATGTCGGGGGCGGGGTCCCGATTCCTGGGATGTATGTAGTGTGTAGTACATTTTTCGTGTGAAGTTTCGTGCGCAGGTGACGGACGGCAGTGAGTAAGTTCCCTTTTGGAGTTTGGTGAGTATATATGTAAAGAGTAGTGACAAGTTTACATGGCCATCCATCACCCTTCACGGGCACCAAATTAATTTGTCTGTTCCTTTTTTTTTTTGCTTTGTCTTCCTCCCTTCCATCTTAGCATATGCGTTACTTAAAATGTGCAAAACATATAAAAATCTTAATTTGAATCAAACAAAAAAAAAAAAAAGCCCTTCTAAAATGTCGAATTCGACGATGCAGAAAATCAATCGCCATTCATCATTATTATGTAGACAATTAACATTCAAAAAAATATTTTAATTCTAATCCTAGTGAGAGTACCAACCAATTTCACATTTTTGGATCCTACCCTGCTTGGATTAGTTGTTTTTGGAAATGTTTTTAAAAAAATTTACTGTAACAGTGTATATGGAAAAATATTTACTAGAGGATGAATGGATTGGATGGCACGAAAGATGAGTGTAAGTGTGAAGTATTGTGTTCAAAACCTTCCATATACACTTAAAAAAAATAAATATATATACTTTTTGTACTAGTTGGCATGTAACGAAAAATACCCTCATATTGGCCTCACATTTTATTTAGAAGAGCCTCACGAGGGTTGTGGCACTTGAGAATTTGCTTCAAACTATAAAGTAGTACTAAAAAAGATTGTTTGGTAGGGGACAACTGGAGATGCCCTTTCCACTATCAGCAGCTTTGCTCACATTTTTCTTCTCCCGTCCCAATTGTTGATTGCAGAAATGCGCATTAAATTGTTGATCTTTCTTTGTATTGGTATGGTCTGAAGGGATAACAAAAAATTCGACCACAAATAATTCAAATGTAAAGCGATCGATCGAGTTTAAGTTACCTGGAGTGGAGTGGAAAAGCATCCCCCCCCCCCCCCTTTTTTTTTATTTTAATAAAAAAAAGGAAGAATCTAAATTGGGTTAACCAAACTTGACTCTACTAAGATGCTCATCATCTGAACCCAAAGCCAGGGGTGCCATGTACTGAATCTTCATTAACTGACGGAAGTAACCTTTTTTTTTTCGAGGGACTGAGAGAAGTAGCTTTAATTCGCCTTCATTTTGCCAGAACAATAAATGAATTTGAGTGGAATCTTCCTGCTTTGCTTGGACGGAGGTTGAGATCACTCCTAGGAGTTAGAACTTTCAGTTTTATCTGTTGCTCATAACCTATTTGACAAAAAAAACATAGCGAAAAAAAGAGAACTTCAGACATCATCTAGCCTTATACAAACAAGTACTTTTACAAGCAGATCCTTCAAGAACATGCTAGCAGGCCTTTCCAGTCAGAATTACAAATTTGATTTATTTGATAATGAATATATCACTAATTTACATGAACATCAATTAAGAGCTGTTCCATGATTCATGGATTGTAATGCTACATCATATTTCTCGTTATTCTGTGCTCAGACCGCAGGACTGGGAGACAAGTCCCAGGGAAAAAGGTTGCCTCACCATGTACGCCTTAGACTTGGGATTCCTGTTCATGACTAAACATCGATATATTTTGACTGCTGTCTTCTTCTTGTGTTGCAATGCAGACTCATTTTACTCTTCCGCGGAAGGCTCGACCCAGCGTCCGTTGTCTTTAATTAGCTGGATCAAAGCATCAGTTGCTTGCTCCATGGCAATGCCTCGTTTTACCACCGTCTGATCAAATGAAGGGACCATCAAATTCATCAAACAGTTTTTTGTAAATAACTTGTTGATCATCTTGAACCATCATACTAGCCATCAGCCATGACATGATGGATGCAAAGCATAAATAGTTACGGTTCGTGAAGCAAATGTTTTGTTCGTGGTATGAAAGTGAAGGTACCTTCCCAACATAAAGATCGATCTTTCCAGGAGCACCACCAACATAACCAAAATCTGCATCAGCCATCTCTCCAGGTCCATTCACAATGCAACCCATAATTGCAATCTACAAGAAGAGATCGAGTTGAATAGGCAAATTAATTTGGTATACCCAAGAGTGAGAGGCGCACTAATTGATAAAATCTAGCGATAGAGTGCTAAGGAGATTGGGTATTCACCGAAACACCAGGCAAATGTGATGTCTTCTCTCTTATTTCTGCACTTATCTCTTGTAGGTCAAACAAGGTTCGCCCACATGATGGGCATGACACATATTCCTGGTACAGAAATTGCACATTTGTAACGTAAAGAGATAAGTCGAGATACGCATTGTTTATTGTTCAGAATCATTTCAAAAATGAAATCCCTACCGTCTTTGTATTACGCATTCTGCAACCTTGCAGCAAATTGAATGATGTATTTCTGAGAAATTCGAAGTCCTGTTCAGGGGCTTCCAACAAGACTCCATCTCCAAGACCATCTACCAAAAGGGCTCCGGCATTGCTCCCAGCGCCAATGACCAAATCATCCCTGCCAAGGAGTAGGAGAAACGCGTGTTCAAAAATCTAGCCCAGGTTCATCTTAGTCAACTAATTTAGTTCCATGATACCTGTGGATTGCTCTAGGAAATTGAATGTGATGAATGACAGGGAAGTCGAGGGAGTTTTCAGAAAGATACTCAAAAAGCCTGCACAGTTTAGATTTGGCAGTCAATCCCAGACAATGGGTTACAATTTAGGGTAGTTACTAAAGAAAAACATTGTCCACTCAGCACCAACAATATAAGCACATGCAAAGTCCATTAATATCCCTGTGGCCAGCACAGTCAACTGAGTCATTATTTGAGCATATTAATATGGATGCATAGAGACAGTTACAAACTGTTGTTCATTCCTCATACTTTATCGGCCTCAACAAGCTTGACGACTAGTATTGTGCAGTTTTTATTAATCTGATACAACTTTACCTCCTAGCAGCATGAACTCTGCCAATCTTTTCATCTGTATAGGTATGTCATGAAGAATCATTGTGGCATCAGTGCTCTTGAGGATTTCCAACTCTTCTTTGGGTTCATCACCGCGTACAGAGACAACCAAGCGTGTTCCTGAAAAAAAAATGGTTGTTAACATAACCCAACTACTGGCTCTATGAAGTTAATGAGCAAAAGGAGAAAACATGCCTTCAGGGAGAAGCTTGTGTGCTCCACTTGATAGTTCCTTTAGAGTAACCAAAACCATGGCATATGGCAAAGGTTTTGTTAACTGCTCGACAAAGGTGTTATAACACCCATGCTTATGTCTATCAACCTTTTGAGAGCTAATCTCTGGTCATAATATAGGGAACAATCAAATCATTCTTAAACTTGGAATGACATTACAGCAGATGCAACAAATTTAGAACCACAAGGTCCAAGGATCAAAGATGATGCAGTTCCTAGATAGGTAAATGATACTAAATGCACAACTGCACAACATTAAAAACACTGATATTATCAGACTAAAAAGAAGTGGTCCTTACTGCATCGTTATCATCAACAGGAGGAAGCTCTCTCAATAAAATTGAGTCTACAGTCGCCAGATCCTGTGACAACATACAACTTCGTTTAAAATCTCAATATATATCTAACATAGGTTAATTATTTTACGCAATAAAAGTATTTGGGAAAGGACCTTAAATGGCATGCCAACTACAAGTTTTGCCGCTAAAGATCTGTACAGAAGTTCAGGTGTCTGATAAAAATGAACAAAAAATTTATCAGAAGCAGTCAAATACAAAGTAAAGAACATAAAGGCGAATAACAGTAAAATTTCCAAAAGCAAACTATCAATCAGACCTTTAATTGATCCAAAGAAACGGACATGAGAACAGATCCATCACGATGGAGGACACCCCTATAATCCACCTCTTCACCCTATTGATTACACGTTCAGGTTTATCAGTTTGGCAGTCCAGATAAGACAAAGAGAAGGCTCAACATGTACATTGACAAATATACTTCAAATTTCTCTCACCTCCTTCTGCACTGGCAGTTGACCTGTTCGGCGTTGGAAATCAAAATATCGCCTGTGTTTTTCTTCAAATGGTTCCTGATGAATACCAGGTACATTAGTTTGTCAAGTATTTCAAAGATCAACTTTAAAGACTTTCATTTTTTCTTGTTTTAGCCTACCACTCCTTGCTGAAGTTCGGCTGCTCTTGTACCAAGGTTTGCCAGCCTTCGACAGGGATCTATCTCCTCCTCTGGGGTTCCGTAAGGGAAACTCTGATTGTATCACCCAAACCATCCTGCATAGGAAATAAAATTTTACCATCTAAATCTCCTACAGACCTAGTCACACGAATAATAATGGTGGACAACACCATAGGTAACACAGTAATGCACACAGCAGGTTTCATTTGCTGTTGCACAATCTTCTAGAATAAAACCTTAAAAGACAAAATCCCA